GGGAGTGCCAGGGAACTCAATGCCTGGGGACAGCAAAGTGGGCATGGGGGTTTCTGTGGCCTCATTTCCACACTGCCATACAGGGATGTTCTCTGCTAGGCCAAAGATGCTGCAGCTGCAAACCAGGGAACACTTTTTGTGCTAGCTCTTGGACCAGGGGACCTGTTCTGGCAAGTCTTTCCCTCAAGTGAGCACTGTGAAAGTATTTTAGAGCTGCTGTTTTATTTTGTTCGTTGTTCTTTTTGCTTTTAATGAATTTTATCCACTTTGGGACCAGCAGCATCAGCCCTAGAGTTATTTTGATTCTGAACATACAGCTAATATAGGCTCTGGCTTCCACTGCACAGAAAACAGCTTGGAGCAGCAGCTACTCCTCATTAGGTTCATCTGCAGTCTGGGGAAGGAAGAGCTGCCTGTATTATTACTATATTTTATTTTTCTGCACAGATTTGAGTTTTTATGGACATCTCAACCACCCTTCCACCACCAGATTTAAGATCAGACACTGATCTCAGTCTCCCCAACATGACTGTTGTGTGCCTGACCTGGTTTCATGAAGCTCATGCAATGATCTGGATGCCAGTGTGACATTTTTATCAGTTTGACCACCTGCTGATCACAGAACATAGTTTCAAGTTAAACTAATCTATAGGTTTTAAAAACACAGATCAAGCCTGCAACTCTGACTTAAGACCAAATCCAAGAATGCTTCATGCTTGGGTAGTTTATTCTGTCTTGTTCCAACCAGTTATTTTTGGGCTACACTTTTTGTTGGTTTAAGCCACATCTTAGATTCCTTCAATGGTAATCCTTAAGAAACAAGCCCTTAAGAAACAAGCCCTTAAAAAAAGTTTGACAAGGAGCTGTAAGGAAGGGGGATGTGGATGCACAAAGAGGGGAGAGGAAATGTTGCTGAACACAGAAGTCACAGGACAAGATTGAGGCTGGGTGTTTGAACAATGCAGCTGAGAGAGCACAGTCTGTGTCTGGGCTAGCAACCCCCAAAGTCAGCTCCCATGGGCTTCAGGTCTCTTTCAAAGCCAGGCTGCTCCTGCTGCCTGAATAATCTGGGCTCTCAGGGCTGTACTTGCAGTGTCTCACTTGGCATTCATCAGTAGGGGCTTCCAGACCATGCTCAGTCACACTGGTAGATTTTGTGGCACCCAAGTACTGAGTTTTAACAAAATGATTAAAAGCAAGGTAGGTTTGTGTGTGAATGGAGTCCTCCTTAAAGCTTTTGGAGCTTCCAAGGAAAGAGCACGAGGATGCTTGATGGAGCTTACACCAAAGGTTGAGTGGAAGCTGGTGTTAGAGACAGCTAAAAATGGGATTAGTTCTTGTCACCCTAAATGAGAAACTAGAAGCCTTGAAGTACTGCAAAAATTTTGCTTGATAAGATAGAGGAGGCAGAAGAAGGATAGAAAAGGGCAATACAATTCAACATCAGTGCTTACGCTGAAATTGAGATCCCACTTACTTATATGGTTATACAGCTTCACCCTCCATGCACTGGGTCTTGCTCCATATATAAGACTCCCAAGTCAAGAGGTCCCCAAGCTTCAAATCTCTCATCCCAGGAAATGATCCCTGTGGTTCTGCTCTTCACCTTTCTCAAAGCATGCCCTACTAGAGCAGGACATGGCATTTCATGAGTTTCACTCACAGTATAGACAGTGCTGCTTTCTGCTCCTGGTTCCTAGATAGCCTGACCACTTTTTCAAGTAACAAATCTCTGTTGCTCTGACACTGGAGCTCATGAGCAGATGTTTGCCCATGTTGCTCCTAAAGTCTTTTGCACAGTAACTGATTTTCCACTTGCACTTTCCTTCTGGATGGTCCAGCTGAGTGTTTATGTGGCTCTACCAGAATACACTCTGTGTGTTAATGTGATGTTTACCAAGCACTCCTGTGTTTGTCATTCACAAGAATCCAGATGACCTATGAAAAAGCCAAGATAAAGCCATATTATCTTGACCAACAGATACAATCCTATTTTCCTCTGATTTTAGGCTATAAGCTCTTTGAGTGAACCAGTTTTCTGTTTGATGAGGGCCAGCATAACCTACTGGGAGATGCTTATCTGGAGTCCCTCTGCAGGTTCCTGTCAGAGCCTGTTCCAGCCTCCTGGCTGCCAGCTCCAGCTCAGTAGAAGCACTTGCTTTTGATTACAGACATCTCCAGTGTCAGCCAAGGAGGTGGATATCAAACCTGAGCACGCTGGGTGCTGCCAGCAACACTTCATAAATAACAGTAATGGAGTGTAATTGCTCATTAAGCCAAACCACAGCCCTGAGCCCTCCCTCTGGCCAAACTCCCTCCAACATCAGCGGGAGCTTTGCCAGCAGGTGTGCAATAGGGATGTGGTCCCCAGCAGTGGTACCATCAATGGGGTACTGCAAAACCACTGCTGGGTGCTGATTCAGATCCCCTTGAAACTGTTGTGTGTCTTTGGATTGATTTAGAAGACTTTAGCCAACCTCCCTTGCTTTACACTGCTCAGCCAGCACGGCTATATCTGCGCAGCAGTTATCCCAGATGGAATATGGAGGAGGAGAATTCCTGACACTGAGCTGTGGGATTTTAATTTTAGAGAGGCGATGGAAGCTCTTTCCTGTTGGGTCTCAAGTGGTGGCTTGTATGGGCGTGATTTGAGGCTTGAAGATGTCTCAGAAGCCTGCCACTGAAAAACCCCTACATGTAACTGATATTGAAAAGTGTTGTGTCTCTGGTGTAAGTGTTATAAAAGCCAAACAAGCTGGTGTTCCTTCGTATCAATCACCTATTGCTATCTGACATTGGTGCAACCCTTTGCAAGTGAAAATAATTTACTGTCTCCCCCCTCATGAAAATTATTTACCATCCCCATTTCGGTTTGAACATTACTGTTGTGGTTCAAAGCTGTGATGAATTGCTTAGCTATAAATTGTCTTTCCTCTCCCCTTCTCCTCCCACCTCTTCCTAATGCAGCACTGGGATGAAGGTTAAGGCATAGGGTGTTATCTGCAGCAAGAGCTCATTCTCAGCGCCCCATACATCCTCGCTAATGCTTATGGCTCCCCTGTGGCATTGGCAGGTGTAATCGCTATTGTACTGAGCTAGAACAGGAGCTGGAGAGAGATAAATGGCCTAGTTATCAAAACTTCCTAGCCTCCCACAGCCCTCCTTGGGAATTCAGCTATAAATGACATTCAAATGATGCTGATAGATGTTAGCAGAGCAGGCAGCAGAACGTGAGCTGCGCCCAGGCCAGCTCCTTCCTGCTGATAATGCCAGGAGAGCTCAGCATCCCAACCCTGGCTGCTGACACTGGAGGCATTGCATGAGGTACCACTCTGCTCTCATCGCCTTCCAGACAAATCCCTGGGGTGACAAAGGTTCAAAATCAGATGGTGACTGAGACACATTACTACTGGAGCTTGCAGAGCAGAAGGAAGAAGTGTTTTTGTCTTCTTTGGCACAGAATTTGTTCAATTTACACCCTCAGAGGATGAAATATGGGAGAGAAAACAGCCCTCCTTTCACCCAGCTCTGCAATGACAGAAGTGTGGTTTTTGAGTGACCTGTGATTGTCTGGTTGAAATTGGTATGGCCTGTGCTGGGTCCAGAAACCACCTCCAGCAGCTCCCTTTGCATCTGCTGTCCTTCCTGGTGTGTGAAACAGGGGAAGGACAGCTCAGATCATAAATCCCTCAGGAATGGAACAGGAGCAGATAGAGTAGGTGGCAAATCTGCTTCTGAGTCTGGAAGGGCTCTTGGGTGTTTTGGCATCTCTACAGGAGATACCAGGAAAACTCCCCCATCTGGAGGAGGAGAACCTCCCATGAAAACCACCAGCAACCTGTAAGGCTTTGCATTTTATTTTATTTTATTTTATTTTGTTTCGTTTGAATTTTATTTTAAAAAATAATTCTATTTTTTATTTTATATACCATTTTATAGTCCATATTATTTTATCTTTATTTAATTTTATTGCATTTTATTTTATTTTTAGACCCCTTCTATCCTCCCAAGGTGTAGCTATGAGAACGCCCAGCCCTGAAGGCAGGTTTTTACACGACAGCAGCGCTCAGAGGGGATGTTTCTAGCGCGTTGTGGAAGAAATCCGAGGGCACCAAAGGTGTAAGGCACACAAAGCTTGTCTCTTCCCTTCTTCCGTACAGCCTACAAACGGAAAGGAAAAGGGTCCGCGCTGTTGACCACATCCCGCCCGGTTTTAAGCCCGAAGATGGACCGGGGCGCGGTTCACAGGGCAGAGCGGAGCGAGGGGAGCTCCGGGGTCGCAGGCTCGGGGTCTCAGCTGGGCTGGGACCGGCGCCGCTCCCGGCAAAGCCTCCCGGGAGGGCACGGGAGCGGCATCTCCGTGACAGAGCCGCGCTCAAAGGCGCTGCCCGGTGGGACCGGGGCTGCCCGGCCGTGCTGCCCCAGCCCGGCCCGCGGGCGGAGGCTCCGGCTCGGCGCGATCCACAGCGGCCGCCAGCGCCTCCAGCCGCCCACTCGCTGCCTCTCCCGGCATCCCTCATCCCCATCCTCCGCTCCTTCCTGCTTCGGCGGTGGAAGCAGCCCCCCGCCGGGGGCCGGGAATGCCCTCCCCTCCCCTCCTCTCCCTCCCTGCAGCCGCAGCGGGGGAGGGGGGCTGTGATGCTGCAGGGGGATCCCCGGGAGCCGAGCGGGGTCTCCCCTTCCGCCGGCTGCCGGGATCTCCCCGCTCCGCGCCGGCGGCGGCTGCTGGGGGGCGGCACCCGGGGGGTGGGGGGACACGGGGAGGGGGGCAGTGCCGTGGCGGGGGGCCGGGGCCGGTGTCCCCCACACCGCGGATGACTCGACAGCCGGGGCTGGGGGAGCGGGGGGCGGGCGCCGGGCTATTTGCTGGCTGCATACAATGGGCCACTCCCTAACGTGAGGGCTGGGGGGAGGCAGGAGCTGGGAGGAGGAGGAGGAGGAGGAAGAGGAGGCGGGGTGGGGGTGGGGGGAAGAAGGGGCTCGGGCATCGGGCTGGTAAATAAACTCCGCGATGATTCCCCTCCCTCGCGCCGGCCCAGGTGCGCGCCGCGCTCCTGCCCGCCCGCTGCCCGCCGGCGGGGGTGACCTGACGGGGATGTGACCGCCTCCCCTGCCCACCGCTTCTACCCCCTCCCTCCAGATATATATATATATGTATACATATATATATATACACACACAAATACATTCACAGATGAATATATCTATATAAATATATAGAGAAGTCATTTTGGGGGGAGGGACGGGGAGCTCGGATCATGGCCCTGGGGCTCCCGGGGCTGTCGCCGCCGATCTGCAGCTCGCCTCCGGGGCCCGACCATGGGGCTGAAGGCGCGGCGCGGCGCGGCGGGCGGTAGCGCGGCCGGCGGGGCGGCGGCGGCGGCGGGGCGGCGAGCGGCGGCCGGCGGCGACCCCGAGCAGGGCTCGCTGGCCCTGGGCACCGGCGGCGACCGCGACGGGACGCTGCTGCTGGAGGGCGGCGGGAAGGAGGAGGGCGGCAAGCGGAGCCCGCCGGGACTGGGGCTGCTGGCGAAGACCCCCCTGAGCCGCCCGGTGAAGCGGAACCACGCCAGGTACCGCCGCATCCAAACTTTGATCTACGACGCCCTGGAACGACCCCGCGGCTGGGCGCTGCTCTATCACGCCTTCGTGTGAGTACGCGGGGCGCAGAGCGGGGCTCCGGGGGCGCGGCTGGGGCTGCCCCGGGGGGTTTATCAGCAGCGTTTTGCTTTATCATCCTCGGGGTGAGGCGCTCCGGGTGCCTGGAGCAAGGGTCTGCTACGGGGTGTGCTGCTGAGCGGTTTTATTTCTCTTATGTCGTCGGGTTTTCCAAAAGGAGCAGCTGCTCGTAACTCTGTGTTTCTGACTTGCCCGTACCTCCACGTTGCCTTGGAGTGGCATTCCCGAGCCGGTGTGTCTGAGGCACCGGAGGAGGGATGCCAGAAAAACCCAAGCTCCGGGCGGGTTTAAGGCTCGAAGTGCTCCAGGGAACGCGGCCAGTTCAGCTCAGCCCGGAGCGTGAGGCTCAGCTGCTCTTGCAGACCGCGGGCGAACCGATCCCTTCCGTAGCTAAAAGCGTCAAATGAAAACCATCGGGTTTCGGTCCGATAAGCATCACCCCGCAGTGCATGAAACCCGAGCATTGCAGCGCTGTCAACCAGAAAGTTACACTGACCACAAGTGAACCGAGAGGAAATAAACTCGTTTTATGGCCCATAGGTGACAAGTCAAGAGAATGACAATTGGTTTGCATTCCTAAAAATTCTGTTGCCTTAAGTTGTCGTAAGGAATATCAAAAAGATCATTCTGTCAACATCACGGAATGGAGTTGGCAGAGTCGTATTAAAATAAATGTTTGTTTTAGTGTTGTGAATGTGTTTGAGTGATCACGGTGATAGTGTTTTTCTTTGGCACTAGAAGGTGTGCAGAGCTCTATGTGACAGAGGATTTAAGCAGTGATTTTTGAAATTGGTTTATTTGCCAAAGACAAACAAAGCTCTCTAGGCTGCATGGGTTGTGAGCCTGGCTCTCGGGAAGTACTGATCATTGGTATAGTCCTTGCACCTGCAAATAAACAACTTGAGTGTAGAGCTGTGATTTTACCTTCAGGCACGTTTTTATTATGTTCACAGTGTTTTAGCCCTGAGCAAGAGTTAGAAGGCAACCATCACTACAGAGTGCTGCTTGCGTACCACTCATTCACTGCTGCTCCCCTTTTTTCAGTGTTTATTCATCAAGTATATCTTGGGACTCAGGTCTTGTTTTCCAGCTTAAAATCTGAAACTGGAAACTGCGACACTTTTTTGGTTCTTTCACCTCTTTTTGCCATAGGAAAACTCATGCTAGCAAGCAGGCAGTGGCAGCACTTGAAGTGTGTTTTGCTGGGAAGGCTCTTAGGTCTGGAGCTTGCTGTTGTGTTCAGTATTGCATAATCCTGCTGGAGAAAGTGACAGCTGGACAGAGGGACACCCCTTTCATCCTGCCTTGGCCAGCCCACACCCCTCAGTGAGGCTTTAGCACACAGCAGAGCATTCCAAGCAGTTTGCAGCCCTCTGTGATAGCTGGGCTCATGTCTGGATATAAGCAATGGGACAGTGGATGTGTCTGGAGAGGCTCAGGTGAGCTGAGAGATTCAGACAATTGACAATACTGTAACTGAATATTGAATTCATTGAATTGAGTTGAATTGAATATAATATAAACAATTGACATTTATTTACAGTGCTATAAGAATTTCCAAGTTAGAGCATTCATTTTAGATAACTCTTTAGATGTGTGGTTGACCTTAAGGTGCTTATGCAATATGGATCACAGAATGGGGAAAAAATGATGACATTTGTAAGGTTTGATTCTTCTTAGGAGTGGACCTGACACTGTGTGGTCAAGTTCTCTTTGATGACTACTCACTCCTGCAAAACTGAAATGTCAGTCTGACTCACAAAAGTCAGTAACAATCTTGTGAAAACCATCGGTGCCAAATTCAATATTAATGAAAATGAAACAAAACACTTTTTGAAGTCTTTATCCTTACAGGAAGTAAAACACACAAGTTGTCAGCCCAGCATAGACACTCCATCCCTCCCCAGGACATCCAGAGGATCTTGCTGTCCAAATTGGCCCCACTGAGTTTCTGTTCAGTCTCAGCTCCCTCTGAACTCAGATGAAGCTGTGGGGTCTTACCTCACTGTAGGATCCAACCCTACAAAAGGAATCTGGTGAGAGTGATGGAGGAGTGTGCTGGGATGTGGCTGACAGAGCTTGCTCCTGCCACTGGAGGAGGAGGACCTGCTTGAGAGCAGGAGCTGTGGGGAAGCAGCATCTCAGTTGATACCCAAAGTCTTTATTCTTGCCTTCAAATGGATTGTCTTTTAACCTTTTTTCCTTCTTTAAAGGAGTCTCTCTCATTTGGAGGTGCTGCTGTGACACAGTGTAGTTCCATCCCAGCAGTCTCTCCGTGTTTCTTTTCACACTAGAATAGTTTACACTTTTCCTTGGGAAGGTGAGAGATTGCCAGTCTTCCCATAAAATCTATAAATTTCATCTTGTTTTAATTTTCAAGAGAAGTCCCATTTATGTTATCTTAATGACATATTATTATTTGTCTCATCTGAGTAACTTTGCAGTAAGTGCCATGCACCCAAAATTAACCAGTAAGATTGTTGCTGTCAAATACAAATAACTAGAGAATAAGCAGCTGAGGGCCAGAAGGGATTTGAGGATGGCTGGATGTGATGAATTCCTTGTAGATCCATGCATTCAGAGGTGTTTAAGGAAGAGATGATGCAAAGCACTCCAATATTGTGTGTATCCCAGGGTCTGGGAGGCAGGGAGCTGCTGATGCAAGAGGGTTGAAACTTTTCCATCCTTGCTGAGGGTGTTGTGTGAGGGGCAGGAGGGGGCTGTGGCAAGCTCTTGGTGAAAACTCTGCATGCCACAACTTTTGAAAGAGTGGCACTGATGGGATCTCGTTAAATCATGCAGAGATGCACATCTGGCTGCAGAGGGGTCCGGATCCTGTGTGGATCTCACTGCTGTAATGAGCACACAAAGGAGGCTCCAGGGTCCTGTGTGGATCTCCCTGCTGTAATGTGCACATAAAGGAGGATCCTCTGTGGATCTCACTACTGGAATGTGCACATAAACAAAGATCCAGGATCCTGTGGATCTCACTGTTGGAATGTGCACATAAAGGAGGCTTTGGTTGCCATTGGGTGCTCTGAAATAATTCTGTTTGAGGAAGTCATTCAAGGAGAGCTCATAAATGGGATCAGGCCCTGCCAAGCCCTAGGGACAGAGGTGCAGTGGAGAAAGGGAGTAATTCCTGATGGAAATTATAGCATTCAGCTTTCACTGGCATTAATTAAGAGAAAGTGTTGTGAGATACTTTCCTTGTGATTCTTCCTTCTTCTTTGTTCTGCACAAGTGAATTTATCCAAGCCTGTCCTTGGGGATTTGGTCCCTAAAGAAACCAGCCCTGTTTCCTTCCCCATCTGAAAACATTTGCTTTCTAGTAGCTCTACTAGACAAAAGATTTATCTTTTATCACTCATGATGTGCCCCTTTGCTGGGTCATCAGGGTTCTTGGTGTTCTTGGCAATATGGCAATGTCTTAGTGGTCCTACTTGGTAAGAAAAAAATGTTTTTCCCCATGAAAAACTTCATGTCTGTAAAGCTAAACTCTAGCTGAACATTTTCAGTATAAAGTAAAATAAAATAAAATAACCTGAGATTCTGAGATATTTAATTTGGAAATGTCTCTTGGGAGTTGCAGGTCAGGCTACAGCCTATCCCTGTTCTTTTCTGAGCTCATGTCACTGTAGGTACAGCTGATGTTCCCATGATATTCTGTATTTTCCTTTGTGTTAGGCAGTGCAATATTTTGTAGGAAACCCCTGCAGTTGTGCCTCGTGGGATGTGTGCTGTGGTCAGGGAGACAGACTCAAGACCTGTCTGCCTCCACAAACCATCCAAATGCTTTATTTATGCACAGAAGCATTAATAAGTAGAATGAAAAATTGAAACAAGTAAGATTTTTTATTTTTCCAGTGTTTTTTTTAGCTGTAAGCACAAAATATTCGGTGGATAAAGGGCAGAGTACAGAAAGGTAACATAATACAGATTGTTTAGAATTGCAATTTGTGGAAAATTTTTAACCTGACTTAAAGAGAGGATGAAGGAGAGGTAACTAGGAGATATTCTCATTTTCATATCATCTTCTGAGACAACTACAGCCTTTACTTTCACGGAAAAAAAGACTAGATAAAGGTTTGGGATTAGATATTGCTTTTGGGGAAGTGTGCAGCATCACCTGCACTCTGCTGGTGTAGATCCCCACGATGGCCCTGCTGATGTGAGGGGGAAGCCATGGGGAACATTAGAGAGCCCTTCTCTGTTTGCCATGCCATCTTCTCTCAGTTTTGCCTAATACCTGGAATAAGAAGAGGAGGCAGAGTCATGAGATCTATCAAATCAGCGTTTCTGGGAAGCACCTCTTGCCTGACTGACTGTAGGTGGGCTGCTTGCAGGAAAGAGTGTCATGGGATTGGGGAGCAGGGTGAAGGTCTGGAGGCTTTCCATTATTTTCCTCATCGCCCTTCAGGAGATGCTCCATAAGATGTGCTCTCCCTCTGTGAGCCATCTGGAGGGAGATGGGAGAAGGTTTGGGGTAAAAAGAGGGACAGCTATGAATCCTTTCTTGGCTTTTTTGGCTTGGACTTGTATCTGAGTGAGTCCCTTGGGCAGCAGAGCCAGCCTGGTCCATTAGCAAGTGCCCTTTGCTTATGTGTGTGCCAATATGAGTTCTGCTTTAATTATTGATGCTAATTCATCATAATGCATGGATAAATATTCTGCAGTATACTTTGTAAAATCTAATGAAGTCTTAGTCATTGGAGACCTCACCAGACACCTCTGCTCCTGCAGCTCCACCGAGGCTTGAGGAGCTGCCCTGGGATTGTGAGTGCCCTGGGGGATGTGGCTGTAGCTCAGCTGCTGGCATCAGCTGGCACAACAGAACAAAGCTGGGATTTGCTGGGGGAAGGACAAGGGGTAGCACAGCCTGGGGAAAGCAGTGCCTGGGTAGTTGTGGGAACTCAGCACATCCCTTCGGATGTCCAGAGTTGTTGAGAATCCTGTCAGGGGGCTCAGACAC